AGACGAACGAACGGAGGAGGGATGACAGGTGCTCAGGAAACGAAGCCCTGTAAACAATACGGTTTCTTGATACCCTCCTCGTTCTGGCGGGGCCCCGCTGGAAGGGGGAAGGCTACGAAACCTGGTAAAGAGTAACGCTTTCCGCGAGCCTCCTCGTTCAAGCGCGGCCTCTCTGGAGGCGTGAAGGGGGGGGCGCGAAACCGTGTAAATTGTATTGTTTTCCGATACCCTCCTGGAGGAGGAGGAGGAGGAGGAGGAGGAGGAGGAAGAGGATACGATGGATGATGGTGAAGAGCAGCAGCAGGAACCGCAGCAGGAGCAGCAGCGGCAGGATGGCCAGGCGTATGAACATGAGAAGGAGGAGGGTCGGGCGGGCGGGTGAGTCGCCCAGGCGTCCAAGGTCCGATTCGTGAGGTTGGTTTGGGTGATCTCTTTTTCCTCGTCCTTCATCCATTCACCCAACCCCCCCCACCTTCCTCCTCTCCTCCCTCCTCCTCTCCCCTTCCTCCTCCTCCTCCTCACTCCTCCTCCCCTCCTCCTTACTCCTCTCCTCATCCGCTCCTCCTCCCCTCCTCCTCCTACTACTCCTCCCGCCTCCTCCTTCCTCCTCCTCCTCTCTCCCCGTCCTCCTCCCTGTCGTCGCCCTCGTCCGGGTCGTAGTGTCTTCCGGCCAGAGTCGGACGTTGAGACTTTCTCAGGGTGGCCTATAAAGGTAGGGACCTGCCGATGGATGACATACGATTGGCCGATGTAAACCCTCCTCTTCCTCCTCCCTCCCTCCTCCTCCTCTCCTTCCTCCTCTCCACTCCCCCCCACTTTTGTTTTTTTTTTCTTTTTTTTTTTTTTTTTAGTTTTCTTTTTTTTTTTTTGTTTTTTTATTTTTTTTTTTTTTTTTTTTTTTTTTCTATTTTTTTTTTTTTTTTTCTCTTCCTCTGCTTCGTCTTCCTCTACCTCTCCTCCTTTTCCTCCTCCTCCTCCTCATCATCATCATCATCATCATGTTCCTCCTCCCCCTCCTCATCATCAGCATCAATATTCATCGCCGCCATCATCATCATCAGCATCATCGTCAGCATCATCGGCATCATCATAGCCAGCATCAGCACCAGCATTATCATCATCGTCAGCGTCATCATCATCATCATCATCATCAGCATCAGCATCATCATCATCATCCTCATCATCATCATCATCATCATCATCATCATCATCATCGTCATCATCATCATCATCATCATCATCGTCATCGTCGCCGTCGACATCATCGTCATCATCAGCATCATCGTCATCATCATCACCATCACCGTCCGTGGCATCATTATCGTCCGCATTATTGTGGACGTCAGCATCATCAGCATCATCGTCGTCATCATTATCAACAGCACCAGCAACGTCAGCATCAGCAGCAGCATCGTCATCATCACCAGCATCTGCCTCATCATCCTCGTCGGCGTCGTCGTCGTTGTCAGTATCGTCATCGGCATCATCATCATCGTCATCATCATCAGCATCATCATCATGATCGTCGTTATCGCCATTGTCACCGCCCATCACCATTATCGCCATCGTCACCGTCATCGCGAACAGCAGCATAACCATTGTCATCACCATCATCATGATGAAGCCTTCCTCATCGCAGAACTCCCCCTCCTCACCCTCCTCAGTGGGAGGAGTAGGACGTGAGATGGATAGGTAATGTTCTCTCCTCCTCCTCCTCACCCATGTCAGTGGGAGGGGCACGAAACCATTTAAATAGCGTGGGGTTCCGATACCCTCCTCGCTCAGACGAGGGCCGTTTTGGAGGGGTGGGAGGGGCGCGAAACCATGTAAATAGCATGGGTTTCCGATACCCTCCTCGCTCAGGCGGGGCCTCCCTGGAGGGTGGGAGGGGCACGAAACCATGTAACTATTCTGGGTTTCCGATACCTTCCTCGCTCAGGCGGGGCCTCCCTGGAGAGGTGGGAAGGGCACGACACCATGTGAATAGTATGGGTTTCCGATACCCTCCTCGTTCAGGCGGGGCCTCCTTGGAGGGATGGGAGGGGCACGACACCATGCACGGGTTTCCGATACCCTCCTCGCTCAGGCGGGGCCTCCCTGGAGAGGTGGGAGGGGCACGAAACCATGTAAATAGTATGGGTTTCCGATACCCTCCTCGCTCAGGCGGGGCTTCCCTGGAGGATGCCCTGGAGGGGTGGAAGGGGCACGAAACCATGTAAATAGTACGGGTCTCCGATACCCTCCTCATTCAGGCGGGGCCTCCCTGGAGGGGAGGGAGGGGCACGAAACCATGTAACCATTATGGGTTTCCGATACCTTCCTCGCTCAGACGGGGCCTCCTTGGAGGGGTGGGAGGGGCACGAAACCATGTAAATAGTATGGGTTTCCGATACCCTCCTCGCTCAGGCGGGGCCTCCCAGGCGGAGCCTCCCTGGAGGGGTGGGAGGGGCACGAAACTTTGTAAATAGTATTGGTGTCCGACACCCTCCTCGCTCAGGCGGGGCCTCCCTGGAGGGGTGGGAGGGGCACGAAAACATATAAATAGTATGGGTGTCCGATACCCTCCTCGCTCAGAGGGGGCCTCCCTGGAGGGGTGGGAGGGGCACGACACCAGGTAAATAGTATGGGTTTCCGATACCCTCCTCGCTCAGGCGGGGCCTCTCTGGAGGAGTGGGAGGAGCACGAAACCATGTAAATAGTATGGGTTTCCAATACCCTCCTCGCTCAGGCGGGGCCTCCCTGGAGGGGAGGGAGGGGCACGAAACCATGCACGGGTTTCCGATACCCTGCTCGCTCAGGCGGGGCCTCCCTGGAGGGCGGGAGGGGCACGAAACCTAGTAAGTAGTGTGGTACTCCGATACCCTGCTCGCTCTTGCGGGTATGGTATGGTAAGGTATGTATGGTATGGTACTGTATAGGTGGTTCGGTATGGTTTCGTACGGTATGTGTGGTATGGTATTGTATCGTATGGTAGGTATGATATTGTATGGTAGGTATGGTATGGTTTTGTATGGTAGGTCTGGTACGGTATGGTGTGGTATGGTATAACATGGTACGCATGATATATCGTATGGCTGGTATGGTATGGTATTGTTCGTTATTGTGTGGTATGTATGTTATGGTTTGGTGTGGTATGACATGGTAGGTGCGGTATGGTATGGTATTGTTTGGTAGTGTGTGGTATGTATGGTATGGTATGGTATGGTTTAGTATGGTATGAAATGGTATGGTATGGTATGGTATGGTATGGTAGGTATGGAATGGTATGGAATGGTAGGCATGGTATGATATGGGAGGCTGGAATGGTAGGCATGGCATTGATATGGGAGGCGGGAGGCGGGAGGGAGAAGGAGAGGATGTTCTGGGAAAACAAAAGCCACAGTCAGGCAGGATGTGGGGAACAAAAAACGCTATGAGGACTTCGGGCGGAGGGCGTAGGCAAGGTGATAACGAGAGTCGCCCCAGCGGGGGGCTCGAGGAGGAGTTAAGGACGTGGGTGGACGCGCTGGCGGTGAAAGCCTAAGACCCCGTCCAATTCGCTTTGTTAGAAGAAGCTCCCCCCTCACCGCCTCAGCTCAGCAGTGCACGATCGTAGACGACACCGGCGCTCGGCGCCACCCCAACATGATATTCGCTTCGAGGCCCCATAGCCGTGCGTGCCGCGCCGCAGCAAGCTCCGCACACTGCGCCCGCCCCTTCGTTAGTCGCGTGCCTTCGGATCACTCGGTAAAGCCGCGAGACGCTGCTAGTTTGGTGCGGGACGGGGCCAGCGCTTCGCCGACCAACTCTCTACCGCCGAACGATGAGGACGCCGACGACGCAGCAACTCGTGAGTTGAATCTCCTGTGCGCGCTGAGAGACCGAGCGCAGGCAGGCCTGTCGCGCGTTGAGCCCCTGCGAAGCGCGCCCAGCCAGGGCGAATCTAGGGGCACGTGCCCTGCGACGGGCTACTTATGCATGCCACCACACAGTTGTCTGCACAGAGATGTTGCACTGCGATGTGTTTGTTCCCCCCTGAGGCCGATAGATGCTAAGAAAGCCAAAAGCAGACCGCCGGGCGAGTTGCTTTGATCAGGGGAGCGCAGAGGCTTGTAGTGTAGCGACCGCCTTGGAAGCGTTTTCTCGGAGGTCTCTTGGAACCATTTATACAGGGGCTCTCTCGGGGTCCTCGTGGAGCCTCTTGGGGTACTTCTGCGGCCCTCTTGGGCTCTCTTGTGGCCTTTGGGGGGCGCTCTTGGGGCTCGTTGGCGGATCTTCGAGGCCTTTTGTGGCCATCTTGGCCCCCATGATTTAAAAAGAGGGGGGGAGGTTCACCACCACCTCTCGGAGGCTGAAACATTGCATATTGGGGCAGTCTTGGGGCGTTTGGGGCGTTTCTTGGAGCCCTCTTGGGCCCCTTTTGGGGCCCTCTTGGGCCGTCTTGGGGCCATCGTAAAGCCTCAAGAGCCCACCGGAAGCGAAAAGGCGAGAAGGCAAACAACAGTGACCTTCCCTAGATGTTGGGGCCGTTCGAGCTTGTTGGGCAGGTCCTTGGAGGACTCGAAGGGCACTTGAAACCATCTTGGGGCCGCCTTGCAGCCTTTTGGATGTGCGTCTGAGGCTATCTTGAGCCATCTTAAGGCATCTTGAGCCATCTTGGAGGCCAGCTTGGGCTCTCTGAGACCTTCTTGGAGCCATCTTGGGCGATCTTGGGGGCTCTAGCGCCTCGCGGCCCCCCCTTCCCTGGCCCAGGGGAAGGGGGAGGAGAGATTCTAGCAGAGAGACGACAAGACTCATTAAACCAACTACGCCCACAGAGCTGGTGGGACTCCTCCTCCTCCCCCTCCTTTTCCTCACTCCCTTCCTCCCTCCCTCCTTCCCTCCTCACTCCTCCCTCCCTCCCACCTGCCTCATCGCGTGAGGGTCAGGAGGCTGCCTGGCCTGCGCATGGAACTGGTCGTCGCTCCCCCCCCCCGTCTGGGCGCGCGGCGCCCAATCCGGCGGCGACGGCCACCGCCGAGGCACTTCGACCATGAACCAGCTGGAGCGGGTGATCGAGGCCCGCCACCGCTCTCGGAGGGCAGCAGCTACGGTCAAGACGCTGCAGTGTGGAGCAGCTCTGGTTCGGGAGGGGCTCGATGCTCTTTGGGTCCTTCCATGGCTGTTCCTCCGGCGCTCCTCGTGCACCCATGCGCTCCGGGTGCCCAAAGGGGCTTTGTTCTTTGTTTAGATTTCCTTGTGGTAGCACGGTGATCGTATACCCGGAAGCTGAGTATACTAGCAAGCCGCTCTGCGGTTGATCGGGAGTTTCTGTAGCTAGAAGAAGGAGCGTGCGCTTGTGGGCGAGTGGTGAACGAGCTGGAAGTGGTGGTGCGGTGGGCGAGGATGAGGAGGGTTAGGATCAGGAGAGTGAGGCTCGCGAGGCGGAGGGTCAGGAGAGTGAGGGTCACGCGGGTGAGGATCAGGCGAGCGTGGAGCAGGAAGGTGAGAATGTTGAGAATGAGGGTCAGGAGAGCGAGGATGAGGAGAATGAAGGTCAGCAGGGTGAGTATCGGGCGAGTGTGGAGCAGGAAAGGGAGGATCAGGTGAGTGAGGATTGGCAGAGTGAGCATCACGAGGAGAGCGAGGATCAGGATAATGAGAATGAGCATGAAAATGGTGAGGATCAGGATCGTGAGGCAGGAGGGTGAGGGTGAGGAGAGCTAGAATCAGGAGAGTGAGGATCATGGCGGAGAGGATCAGAAGAATGAGGGCCAGAAGGGTGGTGATCAAGAGGGAGGGCGGGATGAGGGTGGTCAGGACCAGCAGGGCGGGGAAGAGGACGTCGAAGACCCAGACGTCGATGACAACGAGGACCAAACGCACGCGTACGACGACTGCGGGACAAAAGGCGGAGAAGATGACAGGGCGCGCTAGATTGGAACACGCTCGGCGCGCCCAGTGCATCCTGGTAAGTGTTCCCTGCAGGCCTGGGGCCCGTGGGATGATTTTTGCGAGGGTGTCTCGAGCGAGAGCGCCGGATGGGGACACACCTGGCGCGCCCGGTGCATCCCCAGAAATGGTCCCAGGGGGGGCGCCAGGGGCCCGTGGGGCGATTTTTGCTGATATGTTCCTGGCGAGGGCGTCGGATTGTGACACGCCCGGCGCGCCCAGTGCATCCCCGGAAATGATCCCTGCTGCGCGCCAGGAGCCCGTGGGGCAATTTGGGCGAGGATGTCTCGAACGAGAGCGCCAGATTCAGACAAAGCCCAGCACGCCCGTGCATCCCCCAGAAATGGTCCTTGGGTGCGCGCTGGGAGCCCGTGGGGCGAGTTCTGCAAGGATGTCTCAAGCGAGGGCGCCGGATTGGGACGCGCCCAGCGCGCCCAGTGCATCCCTGGAAATGGTCCCTGGGGGCGCGCTGGGGACCCGTTTGGATATTCTTGTGAGGATGTCTCGCGAGCGAGAGCGCCAGATTGGAACACGCCCAGCGCGCCCAGCGCATCCCCAGAAATGGTCCCCAGGAGCACGCCAGGTGCCCGTGGAACGATTTTTGCGAGGATGTCTCGAGCGAGGGCGCTGGACTGGGACGCGCTGGGGGCCTGGAGAACGATTTTTGCAAGGATGTCTCGAGCGAAGGCGCCAGATTGGAACACGCCCAGCGCGCCCGGCGCATCACCAGAAATGGGTTTTGGGGGTGCGCTGGGAGGCGACGTTCTCGCGCGCCGGGTGTCAGGATGACGTGAGTCCCACAAAGATTCCCTCAAACAACAGGGCGATCTAAAGGTCCTCGTCACCACGGCCAGGCTGGTCAGGATGGACCCAGGAGGGGTCTAAGGACAGATCTTGATCGGACGCACGAAAGAGCGACCCTTCGACGGGTTGGCCTTCGGTGTGTGGCTTTCGGGGTGCGTGGGGGGGAGGCGGGGGGCATGCCCAAGCGCACAGTCCACTGCTGCTGCATCGCACGCAGCGCTCTGCGACCCAAATGCTGCGGGGCCAATCTTGCCCCCGACCACTCCCTGCGTGTTGCTGCTCACTTGGGCGCATTTCCGGGCACTCCGCCCTCCTCCCTCCTCCGCCGCTGCGATGTCTGCACTCTCGCTCATGCGCGGGATCGTCTGAGCGCCGGTACAGACCCTCCCTTCCTGAGCGAGCCCTGCGCCCCCTCCGCCGCTCCCCCCCCTGCCCCGAGCCAGCGCCTGAGCGACCCCCCCGCCCCTTCTCCGCCTTCCCCTTCCCCGCCGAGGCGATCGAGCGCCAGAGCGAGAGCCCGCCCTCCCCCTCCCACGCCCTGGGCGAGGGGCCTGAGTGAGTCCACCGCATCCCTCCTCCCCTCCCCCCTCCCCCGCCCCCAAAGCAGCGGGAGGGGGAGGAGGAGGAGGAGGAGGAGGAGGAGGAGGAGGAGGAGGAGGAGGAGGAGGAGGAGGAGGAGGAGGAGGAGGAGGAGGAGGAGGAGGAGCAGGAGGAGGATGGAGGGAGGAGGAGGAGGAGGAGGGAGGAGGAGGGAGGAGGTGGGAGAGGTAGGAGGAGGGGGAGGAGGAGGAGGAGGAGGAGGAGGAGGAGGAGGAAGGGAGGAGGAGGAGGAGGCAGGAGGAGGAGGAGGAGGAGGAGGACGAGGACGAGGAGGAGGAGGAGGAGGAGGACAACGACGACGACGACGACGACGACAACGACGACCTTCGGCCACGGCCAGCACAAAGGTGACCGGCCGCCCCACCCCGGAAGACATAGAGGCGCGGGCTGCTACCCTGCCGCTGTCGTCGTCGTCACTTCGTCGTCGTCGTCGCCGTCGTCGTCGTCGTCGTCATCGCCGTCGTCGTCGTCGTCGTCGACGTCGTCGTCGTCGTCGTTGTCGTCAGTGCATCGTCGTCATTTCGTCGTCGTGAGTTCGTTGTCGTCATTTTGTCGTCGCCATTTCGTCGTCGTGAGTTCGTTGTCGTCATTTCGTCGTCGTCATTTCGTCGTCGTCACTTCTTCGTCGACAGTGTGTCGTCGTCATGTTGTCGTCGTCATTTCGTCGTCGACAGTTCGTCGTCGTGATTTCGATGTCGTCAGTTCGTCGTCGTTATGCCGTCTTCGTGAATTCGTCGTCGTCATTTCGTCGTCGTCATGTCGTCGTCATTTCGTCGTTTTCGTTTTTGGCAGAGGGAAGCGAGTTGAGACCATGGGAGGTGGCCCTCGGGGGGCCCTCTCGTCGCCACGGCTGGACGCAGCTCGGGAAACTGGTGCGCTTTGACCTCGGGAGGGGTCCAGGGACCGATTTGAGGTGCCACTGTCTCAACTCGGCCTCCTCCGACTCTTGTCGTCGCTGGCGAACAGTATGCGTGCCAAAGGTCCAACTTCAGTGTCGGCGCCGCGGGGCCGCTGGGAATCGATCAGGGAGGAACGGGCGGCCTGGATGGATCCAACGAGGACCCGGGGCAGTGGTTTCGAGCTGGTTTTGGTCGCGGTCGCCCTCCTCGGAGGAGGGAGAGAGACGGAGAGAGAGAGGAAGGGTGGGATGAGGGTGGAGGGAAGAGGGAGACGGAGGGAGGGGGAGAGGGAGGTGCGGGGTAAGGAGAGGCGGGCCAATGTGGAGGACGACGGGGTAGGAGGGTTGGCCGGAGGGAGAGGCAAGGGAGGGCGGCCGACGCAGCGTGGATACCGACGGACCTTGGCCCGGACAGATCTTGACCGTACCGAGTACGCCGCCCCGCCCGGCGGACGCGGCAAGGCCACGGCCCAAGCCGGCCATCCTGGCAACCAGTCCCACCTGGGGACACCAGTATCCCTCGACCCCTTTATGTCGAACGCCCGCGGGTAAAGTGATAGCCAGAAAGGGGGAGGAGACGGAGGAGGAGAAGGAGAGGGGGGAGAAAGGAGGAGGAATGGAGGGAAGTGGCGCACGCAGAAGGAGGCAGGAGGGAGGAGGGATGGAGGGAGCACGAGACCCTCCTCCTGCTGTGTTTCCCCTTTTCTTCGCCCCCTTCATTCCTCCCTGCCTCCTCCCTCCAGCAATCCCTCCGCCTCCTGTGTTTCCTCCTTCCTCTGCCGGTGAGCAGGAGGAGAAAGAGGAGGAGGAGGAGGAGGAGGAGGAGGGGGAGGAGGGGGAATATTGATAAAATTTGGAGAGGAGGAGCAGAGATGAGGAGGAGGAGGAGGAGGAGAAGAAGAAGCAAGGCGGAGGAGGAGGGATTTCTAGGTGGAATTCTAAAGGGTGTTACGGGCCTCTGTCAGCAGATCCAGGGTCCAGGCAGGAGGAGGACAAGAAGGATGGACGATGAAGACAATGACAGTGAGATATAAATAGCGGATGGGATGTAGGGATGAAGGATGGGGAGGACGTTGACGAGGAAGTAGGTGGAGAAGAAGGAGAAGAATGGAGCAGGAGATGGGGGATGCTACGCGATACGAAATGCAAGAAACATGGAGCGGACCGGAAGAGTATCGGGATGATGAGTAGGGCGCCGCTGACAAGAACGAGGGGCCGGGCGATTGGGAGGAGGAGAAGGAGGGAAAAGGAGAAAAGGAGCAAGCGGAGCAAGCGGAGGACGAGCGGACAGAGGGATCATAATCAGGGAAGAGCAGTAGAAGGAGGCAGGGGAAGAAGGAGAAGTAGGGGGGAAGAGGAATGGCGGGGGAGAAGAGATGATGGCGACGGTAAGGGCGATCAGGAGCAAAGGTATGATGATATTGTTGATAATGATGTTGATATTGTTGTTGTTGATGATGCTGATGGTGGTGATGGTCATGGTCATGGTCATGGTGATGGTCATGGTCATGACCATGATGATGATGATGATGATGATGATGATGATGATGATGATGATGTTGATGATGATGCTGATGATGCTGATGCTGATGTTGATGCTGATGCCGATGATGATGATGATTATGATGATGATGATGATGATGATGATGATGATGATGATGATGATAATACTGATGGTGATGCTGACGATTATGCTGATGACGACGATGATGATGCTGCTGCTGATGATGATGATAATCGTGATGATGATGCTGCTGATGATGATGATGGTGGTGGTGGTGGTGGTGATGATGATGATGATGGTGGTGATGATGATGAAGATGACGAGGAGGAGGGGGAGGAGGCGGCGCTGGCGAAGGCGTTCAAGATTGAAGTCTGGCGCCCTGGCACGCGTTCACGCCTGAACGATCCAGTTACGCGTGTTCGCTAGTCACGCCACAGGACCCGCTGGAATTCAACCTTGAACGATCCAGGCTGCGATCGATTCAAGGCTGAACGATCGACGCGGTGTCAAGGGCCCTTGCGCGCGCCGACGCCGCACGAACCTGCCGCACCGAGGGCCGCGCCCCCTCGCGCGCTCCGAGGCCGTGAAATCGCCCTACGCCCAAACCATGCTGGAGCAGCTGACCAACTCCCGCGCCAGGCGCCGAGCCGCCCCCTCCCCCTGCGGGGCTCGTTCCGATGTCTCCGATTCGCTTCGCTTCGATGTCGACGGCGTCCGACTCCGACCCCGTCCGACTGCGGATCCCGACCTGGACTCCCAGGTTTCCACGGAGGCCTGCTAGCCTGCCGATATATATATATATATATATATATATATATATATAGATGCCGATCCGATGTCTCCCGGCTCGGCTACCGATTTCCGCCGATCCGATTCATTTCGATCGCCGATCCGACTCATCGATTCGATTATGAGCTCCCTTGGCCACCTCGAGTCTCGACCAAGAAACGGCACAAACATACATGTTCGGAGCTTCGCGCGGATTTCCTGCTAGTGTCTCTCTGACTCTCCAGTTGGCTCCCTCCTCCCTCTGCCCCCGCGTGCCGCACAGCTGTCTGCTCAGGCGCGGCGCGATCCTGTGACGCAGGCTGAGAAGCAGGTGAAGGAGGCGAAGCTCAACGGCCCAGGCGCGGGGTCCAAGCGGAGGCCGGATGCGGTCCACTTCTGCTTCCGCCATTTCTCTGGCAAGTGTCACATGCACGAGCGCGGCAAGACGTGCGTGTTCCACCACGAATGCCCGTTCTGTGCCAAGACGCAGGAGGGTTGCTTTGCGAACCACATCCGGCCACTCGGCCTGGAGCTGATCAAGACCAGAGACAAGCGTGCCCTGGAGGAGCGGGCCAGCGGCAAGGGCGCCCCCAAAGGCGGGCAGCCGTGGCCACGCGGCCGCGGCGCCGCAGAGGACTGGGCCGACGGCGGGCGGGCAGAACGCAGGCGCTCTCGCTCCCGCAGCCGCGGGCTGGTGCCGCCCAAGCGCGAGTACTAGGGGTGTCCAGCTGCTGGGGGGCCCCCGCTAGCGGCCGGGGCCCGCCCCGCGGTGGGTGGGAAGACACCCGCGAGCGCTGCCGCCGCTCCCCTGCTGCGCCGACAGACCACGAGGCGACGTAGGCGTGGGCTCAGTCAGCGCCGTTCGCGCTCCCGGAGCCAGGCTGCACCTGGGAGCAATCGCTCCGCGATGCCATGTCGCTCAGGACCAAGCTTGGCGCAGGCTTGTCGGATTTCCAGCAGCAGCCGTGGCGTAAGCTCGCCAGCTGGAAGCAGCCCCTCCAGGCTACCGGCGAGCAGGCGCAGTGGACACGCAGCGTGCCTGCAAGCGTCAGGCAGGTGCGCGGCCAACTGCAGGGGCCGCTCCTCAAGGCCGCCCTGGCAGCGGCCCGCCACGACGATGCTGGCATCGTGCATGACCTGCACGGCGGGTTCCCGGTGATCGGGCGCACCCCCTCAAGCGGCACCTGGTCGCCGCGGGCGGAGCATTCGGCCGACCCGGTCAGCGACCTCTCGAATGCATCCAGAGTGCGTCAAGACGCTGGCCGTGTCTCCCTGGCAAATGCGCACCAGGGCGAGCTGTTGTCGGCGGTCGCTGCGCAAGTCGCGCGCGGGCGCTTCGAGGTCGTCCGGGGCTCTGAGCTCTCAGACCTGGTGCGCCGAGTCTGGGGTCAGCTTGGCGATGTCATCGACCAGCTATACTTCGGCGTCGAGCAGGACGGCAACGCCCGCGGCTGCCAAGGATCTCGCGTTTCTGGCGTGGCTGCTGCCACCCAGCTGAACGAAAATATGCACGTGATGGGCATCGACGGCGTCACCGCCTTGGCCCGGGCAGGCGCGAGCGCCCACCCGCAGGAGCAGAGCAACTAGGCCAGAGTTGATTGGAAGAAGATGTTCCACCAGGCGAGTTTGCTCCGGGAGCGCCGCCTGTTCTTCATCTCCTTCGTGCTCGACGCGAACAAAGACGAAGTGGTCGTTGTCATTCCATGCATGACACTCGGCGGCCGCGCGCAGCCGCAGCAATGTTCTCGCACGCCGCGGGCAGTCGCGACGGTGGCCCGCCGCTTCTTCGGGCTCCTCTGCGACCACAACGTGGACGACGTCGTCGGGTGCGCCCCCGATGGCCTGGCCGCCGGCGAGTTCCGGCTGCTCTGTGACCTGCACGAGCTCTTTGGCATCGAGGTCGCCGCGGCCAGGGGCCCAGAAGACAAGTTCTTCGAGCCGAAGCGGGGCGGGGTGCTGCTGGGCGCTTCCTTCTACCTCCCGTCGCCGCGCGGCCTCGCGGACGACGTTCTCGTTGAGTGGTCGATCCCTAAGCATAAGGCCGCCGCGTACGCGGCCGAGCTGTCGCGGGCGCGGGGCCAGTGCGCCCCGGGAGCGGCGTCCAAGCTTGGGGGGCGCTTCGCTTGGGCCTTCTCCTTGATGTGGGGCAAGGCAGGCGGCATCTTCCTCCAGGCCATCTACGACCAGGCCCACAGGTCGACATCGCGCACAGATCGGCGTTTCCGGATGTCCGTCGATGGCCTGCGCGAGATTCTCGGCGCGCCGGGGCCCGGGCAGTTCTTCAAGCCGGCGCTGCTCCGACCCCGATCGCGTCCACACTGCGTTCTGATCGGAGACGCTAGGGGCCGCGGCGAACCGTGCGGCACCGAGGCGTTGGGGGCCATCGTCTTGGACGCGCGGCAGCCAGTCGTCGAGTTCTTCGTCGCGCCCGTGGACTAGGACCTCGAGCGTTTCTTGCCTCCCGGGCGGGAGCAGCGCATCAACGAGGCCGAGACCTTCTGGGTCTGGCTTGCTTTCCGGACTTGTGGCCGCCATTTGGAAGGCGCAGACGTCACCGTCGTCGTGGACAGCTCCGCGGCCGAGGGCGTCATCCGCAAGGGCATGAGCGGATCGGTCGCGCTGTGCTGTCTGAGCGCAGAGGTGTGGCGGGAAGCCCGCCTGGGAGGCGCGCGCCTCTGGGTGGTCCGTGTCCTATTTGGGGCGAACCCAGCTGATCCGCTGAGCCGTCTGATCACCGCGCCTGCTCTGGCACGCGGCTGGCGCCAAGTGCCCGCAGCCACGCCGGCGCAGTGGCACTTCGATCCCCGCCGCTGGGGATTGACCGCCCGCGCGGGTGGTCACAGCGTGGGGGCTGCTTGCTGCACCTCCATGCTGGTTCCAGGGCAGGGCTTGCGCCTCCTCGGCCCTTTCTCTGGGGCGGGGCCTTCGGGCGGGGGAGGGCTTGCGCCTCCTCGTCCTCCTGCCCAGGGCGGAGCTCGCGCTCGTCCGGCCCCCCCTGCGTGGTCCGGCCGGCGCCGCCTCGCGCTGTCCACCCCGCAGGCGCTTCCTGGAATCGGACGCCAGCCCGAACGGCATCGGGCAGCAACCCGGCTCCAGCGTTGTGAAGACATTCGTGGCTTGGTAGAGGAAGGCAACATCATCTTCATCGTCATCCGCATCTCTGCTTACTTCATCATTTACACGTGCAGCTTCATCCCCGTCGACGTCGGCATTTCCACCGGGCTTTCCCTGAACAGCGCTGCTGTGGGTTTCTTGCTGTTTAGGGTCATTGGGCATTGCTTTCCCCCACAGGTGAATGAGACGCGCCCTGCCATGCGTATGTGGTCTGTTTGTTCCTCGCCTTCCTCCTTTTGCTCGCCGTTCTGCTCGTTTGCCCCCTCCCCTGCCCTCCCTGCGCTCCCCTGCCCTCCCCTCCCCTGCCTTCCCCTCCCCCTCCCCTCCCGGGCGGGGGCGGGGGACTTCTCCGTGGCGGCGGGTTCGGCTCCCGCGCCGGGCTCTTTGAAGGTTCGAGGTCCTCCCGAGGGGTGAGGCAGGTGCGTCGTGCTTCCCCGTGTTTCGCTTGAGATGCTTGTTGGTCCGCACTCTGTGTGGCGACTCGTCTGTGCTTCCGCGGGGTGCCGCAGCTTGTGTCTGCTTCTGGATGTGCAGTTCCCGCGGATTTTATTTTTTGTTCTGAGCTCTCGATCCCAATACTCGCCTTCTTTGGCCAGTCTCCCTGGTTTCGTTGGCCATGGAAGCGCGGATCCAGCGGAATGCATTCCCCGGGGCTCTCGATCCCAAGATGAGTTTCGTCATTGCCGATTCTCTGGTGGACATGTTTTCTGGGTGTGCGGATCCAGCGGGTTGCATTTCCTGGAGCTCTCGATCCCTAAACAGATCTTCCCATGTTGCCGACGGCCTGGCGTGCGGGCTTCGGTTACTTATCGTTCGGTTCGCCGCGCTCCTGGCTCCAGGATTTGAGGAGCTGCCGGTAGATCCCGGGAGTGGCGATGCGCCCGGCTTCTCCCGCCGATTTCCAGCAGCGTGCGGCTGCGGCGTCGGCGGCACTCCGTCTCGCGAGGCGGTCGAGGGCTGCAAGCCGTCGGATTCCGTCTCTTGCTTCCCAGTCGGCGGGCAGCTGGCGCGCGCCAGTCCCCTCTCTGGAGTTTCGCCCCGTGCAGGGCCAGCCGTTCGCGGTGTCCTGGGGGTGTTTGCATCTTGGCGCTCGTTCTGCGCTCGCTGCAGCGGGTTGGATTTTTGTTGGAAGAGATCCGGGGTGCTGACCCTGGCGAGTTCGAGCGACGTATTGCTGCATCTCCATCGCTGGTCAAGTTGAGACCTTGGTTGCTGCTGGTCATAGGTCGTCCCGATGAAGATGTCCTACAAAACCTGGAGTCGGCGATCTCGTTCGCGCGGGTTGCGCCAGACGCCGTGTGCAAGTTTATATCGGAGTCGACCCAGGCAAACGCACGAGGACGAGTGTGAACGCTCCTCCGCGGGAGCAGCTTGACATGCTGCGCACTGCCCAGCAGGAGGGTTTCGATGCCCATGCCATTGTCGACGTGCTTATGCTTAAGAAGATCGGGGTTTCCGTGGGTAGTTCGCTTACCAGATACTTGTCGTCTGCACGGACGGTTGAAGCGTTTTGTGTGCTCTTGAACTTACCGTTTTTGCCGACGACTCTGGCTACAGTGTACCGACTCGCTGCACTGATAACCCACGAAGGGACGCTCAAGTCGATCTGATCAGCGTGGAGGAACTTCCATCAATTGGCAGGCTTCCATTGGCCCGTGGAGCATTCCCTGGTGTTAGCTGACATTAGGGCCGGGGCGCGGAAACTGCAACCGCCAGCGCCGCCCAGGCCGCGCATCAGAAAAGACCTTTTGCGGAAA